AGAAAAAGAAATATAGCTCCCAGCTGTTTCAACTCCAACTCCATTTAAATTTAGTCATCCAATTTATCAGCTATAAACCTATGTTGAGATTCTCCTAATAGTCACCTGCACAGAAAACATTCATTAAAACAGTATGTTTTACATTTAATTTGCTCTATTTGGTTTGTCCTGCACTCAGCTGGTAAAGTGCCAAGGATGCGGGCCCAGTGAGCCTCTCAGACTTTCATCATGGGAGAAACCATTTGTTACCTGCAATATCCACATTTTGAGGGATTTAATTTTAGGCTTTTTGGGACAAAGCTTTTTTGGTACACTGTATTGTGGTGGTACATTGCAGACAGACAACTGTCTAGCTTTAGACCTTTAAGAAAGGCTAAGCAAGCTGTTTCAGTGTCCTCATATGTGCTACGGATTTCCTGTAAGTGCCAGAGAATTGGCTTTGATTCTCAATATATTTTAAGCAAGTTTTAATGAGAGTTGACGGGGAGCTTGGACATTACCATACCTGGTCTTCAGACAGTGACTTTGCTGCTATGAAACAAAGGATAAATAACAATGGCCAGTGTTATGTAATCTTATAAATGGATTAGGTTTGTTCCAAAATTGTTTATAACATGAAGAGAATAAAAGCTGTGGGAATTCCACTTTCTAAAGAACCTGTCTTTAGAAATCTGTCTGTGCTGGCTTTAAAGATCCTTACGCTTTTCCTGTCTGTGCTATAGAAAGTGGTGACCTGAAACCTAAATCCTGTGTTTTGCGCTCATCTCAAAGCAAGATGTTATGTAGAGATGTGGAATACAAGCTTTTGGCCCAGCATACCTGATGAAATGTAAGGTTATATTCAAGGTATCACCTGTCTTCCTGCTTATGCAATTTTAAAATTATTATTATGTATATTTTGGGTTTTCCCTTCCATTATAGCTTTTGCCTGCAGCAGTAGCTTCCCTTCCACATACTTATTTTTGATTACTTGTGACTGATAGCATTGAGTAATTTTGTTTGCTAAGGAAATCCCCTTGCAATGACTTACTGACTTTACCAGAATTACGAAAGAAACTTTAGGCCTACTACTTAGATTGTCACTTTGTATTTTGCTCATGATAACCTAGTAAAACATTCTCTTTTAGTGCTGTAGGAATACCATCCTCCTCTAAATGCAATCTTAATTTATTTCCTCATTTTATTTTTCACATCATTTTGGGTGGGATTCAAGATAAATACAGAGTAGTGTCCTTTACAAATCCATAGCTGGAGAGCTCCCTGCATCGTATGGCCTTTTCCCCAGCCCAGGGAGTAACTATTTTGCACAGCAGTTCTGTTCTGCAGAGGCAGCCAGGAAACAGAGGTCAGGTGTTATTTTGAGGAGCTGTAGGGCTTTCATAAGGGTACGCTGTGCTGCCTGAAGGTATTTACAGTCATACAAACACCAGTCCAGTTTTACACCAGTACTTATCCAACACATCTGCATTGATACTTCTGCACCTAGATGAAGTTCCACAAGGTAGATAGACAGTCCTTTAGTTGCTTTTTAGTTGCATTTTGACAAATGGTCAGCAATGTTAGTATCCTCAGCGGTGCTCAACTCCCAAAAGAGAGAACCTGCCCTGATGCAGACTGGTGTGAATACAAGTCCTTTTTGCTTCAGAGGTGTTTACCTTCAGGAGAAGAATAGTACAGGGTGGACAGGTGGGGGCAGTAATATCTTGAAGTACTGCACCGAAATCTGTGAGAACCTGTTTGTTTAAAACCTTTGCATGAACTCACTGAACATGAACGTGAAAGAGAAAACAGCGGCAGCCTGTTGTGATGATAGAGATTGCATAGGCAATTGGAAACTAAGGACTTTTGGATTTACATGGCAGAATTTGGGCAGCTTCAACGAAACTGCTTTGAATTTATTCTGATAGAACCAAAGGCATGGGCTTGCCTTCAGCTTTTTGTCTTAGTTGATAAGAATGTCTGCTTGCAGTATTGCAAAGTAAGAACAGTAGTAACCTAAATTTGTGGCATTTCAGAAAAGAATGTTAATATGGTACACAGTAAAAAAGCATGCAAAAGATCTTGCTTTGTGTCTTAAGATTTTAAAAAATAAAACCACAGCCTTTAAAGCTCTCATATCTTTAAACAGCAAAAATGTCATTTGTTTAAAAATACTCTCAAACAAAAAACAAACCCTAAAACTGGGACGTGAAAATGAAACATGATTTAACTTAATTATAAGCCTTGAACAAGGAAACAGCATGTTCTCGGAATACTTAATTACAGCATTGTTTTTAGGTTGAGGTTTTTGTGTGTGTGTGTGTGTGTGTTGCTCCACTCAGTCTTCAGCAGAAAGAATAAATGGCAAAGAAAACACGGAAGTACAGTAATCATCTTGAAATGCAGTTTCCTTCTTACTGGGAAGCTATCACGTGATTTGCTGAAAAAAATGTATTAAAAAAAAGAAAAAAGCCAACTTGCAGTCGTTCTTTGGTAGCATTGAAACTTAATTCTCTCTAAATCTCACTAAAAGATGTCTGGGAGTTGAACTGAAATGGAACCTGCCTTTCAGTTAGTCAATATTATTGAATGTGGGTTACTCAGCCTTAAAAATACACACATGGTAACTAACAGCTAAATTTCTGCACAGACTTCTGCTGCTGAACAGTATGGGTCCCATCTATCCCTTTTTGAAATTGGTAGCAGAAATTTTTAAGAGAAAGTCAGCTACTTTTTTCTCTTTGGACCAAGGAGAATATTTCACAGAGCTGTGCCCCTCCCTGTGCTCTCACAGGTGAAAAAAACCACCTGTGGTTATATTGTGTACTTTTTCTTCATATGGTAGATAAATGGAAGGACTAGCATTTTTATGTTGTATTGAAATGAAGGGTTGTCAGCTCAAAAGGATCTGTATCAGAAAAGGCACGTTGACCATGTTCAGTCATGCCCTAAAGACAAATCTAGGGTAGATTCTTATGGTATGCTGAATTAGGTGTGTGAAAGCCAGAAGCAAAAACAAAACTCTGGTATCCCTAAGTTCTGCAGTTCGCTCTTGCACTCTGTGCTGCATACCAGGAGCAGCAGCATGTTTTTGTGTCAGTCACACTTTATTCTTATTTAATTTGGTGTACAAGCTGTATATATGTTGTTAAAGTAACTAACTCTTTAACATCCCGAGGTGCTCTATGTATTCTTTCCTCCTCTAAGTTTACAGTCTATAATTATAGACAAAAATAAACACGAGAAGAGAAATGGCAAAACTGAATAAAGTCTTGCAGTTAACTGGGATTTCTTTGAATGCTATTGCATTTCTACACAGAATCACATGTAGGCACCTATGTGTAGTCAGTAGTTTGCTTTCCTTGTATGCACAGTGACCTGACTTGTTCATTAAAGGAAAAAAAGGTCATGTAATAACAGGATGATAAGTGACACTAATGGTACCATTACTTCTTTAAAGGAACTTGCATGGTTTTCTGGTTTTTTAAGCATATTTCACCTTCTCACTTAAGTGTATTCTGAGATAGTATATTATTTTCTTGACCACGATTCTGACCTGGTTCATAAATGAAGTAAAAACTTCATGAATCCAGATGGAACATTAATTTAATCAACTATGCTTTAAGAATAAACAAGAAACCCCACCTCCAAAAAAACAAAACCAAAAAACCACAAACAAAAACCCAACCCAAACTAAACCCCTTCTCAAAAAGAAATAGTCCAAATTATAAACCCCCCACCATTTCAGTCTCATCTCAGAATTGTACAAACTAGACCATGGCTGCTGAAATGAGCATTTTAAATTTCCTACTGAGCTGTGTGAGAGGAATAAAATCGTTCATACCTAAAGAAAAGCAAATTGACTGCTTTGTAATGAACTCACAGCTGAGCACACAGACATGGAATCAAGTCTTGAAATCAAGTTTAGATGCTCCCCTGTTTTGTGCAGTCACAACCTCCTGAAGGTGTGTTGGCTCTTTTGTGTGTCACTCTTTTGCTTTTCTGTATTGTAAAATGAAACTCAGTGTATTGCACATCTGTTCTGTACGTGCTGTACAGCTTTGGCTGGGGGGGCTGTGCCATGGTGGGAAACATCCCCAGTTCAAGGAGGTGAGCTGGGCCCCTCTGGCAGCATGGCTCAGAGGGGCAGAGCATCAAGAAGGGCTGGTGTTACACCTCAAGAGGAGCTCAGGCCACCGATTGTCTTCCACTCCTCCCCTCGAGCCATTTAAAAACTTGTTCAATTCCTGATTTTGAGCTGTGAATGAAGGTATTAAACTAGTGAGGGCATATAGGAAAGCTGCAGTGTGATTTGGAAACTGTACTTAGGTTGATTGAAGCTCACTGTTCTGTCTCTTTGCAGATGAACGCACCATTTTTTTTCTGAACAAAATACGCAGCAACAGCGCCAGCACTGCTTTACGGGAAAACCACGCTACTTCGAGATGTTCGTGACGTGTTTTTTTACGGTTTTAGACGCCGCTGTAATTTTATGGGAAACGGGAGGTGGGAAGTCTGAGGCCGTATAAAGAAAACCTCGGGGCTCGAGGGAGCCAATATCGAGAGAGCCCGCTGCGGGCCTGGCAGTTCACAGCCCTTCTTCCTCTCGTTCCGTCCCACCTCGCTGCCGTTTTCTCTTCCCTTCGGAGGGATTCGTAACGGCGTATCACGGCTCCTATTATCAGGAGATAGGAGCTTCCTCCATGGGAAGGGAAAAAAACCCCGCACAATAAACAAACAAACAAAAAAACCCAACCCCCCCAAACAAACAAAAAACCCCAAAAAACCCAAACAAATAAAACCTCGCACTTTCGGTGACGTGCGTGGGCAGGAGGGCTCCGTGCGAGCGCCCATCGCCGCTCCAGCCCCGTCCCCTCAGCCCCTGGCGCTGCCCGGAGACCCGCGCGCAGCCGCGCCCGCCCGCTCGGCCTCAGCAGCGCCGTCCCTCACTCCTTCCTTCCTCCCTGGCAGGCGCCGCCCCAGCTCTCCGCTCCCGGCGGCCGTGCCGGCCGTGCGAGGGGCGGGCGGGCGCGGCCATGGGCTCCGCGGCGCTGCTGCTGGTGCTTGCGGCGCTGGCCGTGCCGCTGGCGGCGGCATCGGTGGCGGCGGGCGGCCCGGAGGGGCTCAGCCTGCGGGGGAGCTGGCGGCTGCGCAGCGGGAACGGGTCGGTGTCGATCCGAGCCGAGGTGCCGGGCTGCGTCCACACCGCGCTGCTCCGCCGCGGCCTCATCCAGGTACGGTTCTCCCGGCGCCCGAGGAGCGCTGCCGGGCCCGCCGTCGGGCAGCCGGCCTCGGAGGGCAAAGCCCATTGCCCCGTGTGAGGAGGTCTCCAGAAACACGATTAGAGGCGACGGCCTCGCCACCCCCACCCGCCTCACCACCCCCCATAGCCCAGCCACGGCTCTGTCCCGGGAGCTGCCGCAGCCACTGCGGGGTTTGTCGGCGTTGCTGGTGCAGCGGGCAGGCTTCGTCTCTTGGCTCCGCCCGTGGCAAAGGGGGTTCTGTGGCTGCGGTGTCCTCAGTCCCAGACGGGACCGGGGATAGAAATGGAAGCGTGTGCTTTGCAGTGTGTGAGATTCTGTGGTTTTGGCACGGAACCAAAGGTGCTGACACCAGATACCTGCAGTATCCTCACAGCGTGTAAATCGTGTTTACCTACAATGTTACCTCAACAGAATGAAAAGCTAAACCCACCCTGCTAAAGTTTGACTTGTAGATGTGAGAAGTTTAGGGATTTCAGGCGTTTTAGCCCGTTAAAAACCCCTTTTAATACTTGCAGAGCATATCAGAACAGCTGAGATTGTGTATTCCCATACTCCCTAAGGGAAGTATATTCTGAAACACTAGAACAGAACTCTTAAAAGACTAATCTCCGCCTTAACACTTTGAAGAAACTTTTCTGCTTCAGTTTACACCTGTCTCTTTAGTTTTTTAGATTTATGAAAACACAGTGACCACTTTTCCTGGACAAATTATCAAAACTGCAGTTCTAAATAGGTAGCAAAGTACCTTGATAGCAGCATAAGGTGCTTGTGACTCAGACCTAATAAGAAACATGGCACTAACTGGGTCATTCCTGAAATTAGATGCCATTTTAAAAGGAAACATGGAAAGTGAGATGTGTACCTGGAACAAGGAAAAGAAATAAAATATAGTGAAGTTAACAAATTCATCTATAAAACTGATAAATACAGTTCTATACTAGAAAATGTAAAGTACTGTCATATGTTATCTGAGTACATCATATTATCCTTCCCTTTACTGTGGGCCCAGTGTTGCAGTTCTTGTGCAGCATATGTTTTAAAAATACATTCTGGATGCATGCTTTTTGTATTTTCCTTAACTTTTATCCTTCAGGTTATTATACTACTCTGCTCTGACTAAAGTTAGAGAGGTAAAAGGAGAAAGTGACGCAACTTTGGGCAGGATAATTTTAGCACTATTCTGTGTTGTCGTAGGTTGGGAATCCCAGTACTAATAATAGATTTCAAAGAGTGTCATTGCCAGATAAAAGAAATAGTCAACACTGGAAAAGTAAATACACTAAGAAGCCATGATGGTCTGTTGCTTCAGTATCTGTGTGCTAAGTGACATGATGCCTTGGACATACACAGCTAAGGGTTTTTCTAAAGTTTTCAAATGTGCAGTGGTCAGGTAGACTGTGCGTGGAGGAACAGCGAAATGAACTGTGCCCGTTTCTCCAACACAAAAGTGGGCAAGGTACACTGAACTTTACCTGGGATATTTGGGTGTGCTGGGAGGTGTTGCTGTAAGACGTGTGAATAATCATCCGGGAGAAACTGTGACCAATGCACTGACACTGACTCACACTGGCAAGATAATGACGTAATTAAAGACTCACATTTAACTACTCACATTAAGCACACTTACAAAGCCAGAAGAAGTGATTGCTAATTTAGCTGCATTGCTGTAGACTGACTTGTAGTTTGAGTCATTTTGAGTGGCAGTGTATTTGGAAATGAGGCTGTGATCGTGAACTCTCATGTGCCTGTGCAGAATCCCAAGCCTGCACAGAGGCATGAAAGCTTAGTCAGTACCGGCTGACCAGCAGCACGGGTCTTGCTAATAGGTAGATGGATGCTTGGCCAATTAAATCGATGATGGTTGTGGTCACTTAGGACATGTTTACATGAATACAAGTAAGAACTTGCTCCAAACATGTGCTGGTATGGCCAGGTATGAACCTGCTGTGGACTGCAATCTGTTGCTAAATTGGTGGTGTTAGTAGGCTCAGTCGAGGCGCTGACTTAACCAAAACATTTTGCTGGTGTGGTTGCTTGACCTCTGGACTGGAGGCATCTGGTGTCTGGCTACTTTCGTGCTCAGAATGAGCTAACTTGTTTCTGTGTATAGGTGTGTACAGGTAACCCAAGGTCAGTTTAAACCCATTCCTGCGCAGTTTATAGAAAAAAAGCGTTCACACAAATATTTGCACCAGGATAACTAAATTGTTTTAAAATCGCTTGTTTTTGTTTAAAAGACAGAATGTAGACCATGCCAGAACACAGGAGCAACCTTAGCAGATTTGAAATCTATCGCAGATCTTAAATGTACTCAATCCCTGCCACCATAGTTGTAGCATTCTGTAAAGCAACAAACCTGGGGTGTCTGGAGGGAGTCTGTGACATTGTTCCTTGCTGCAGGTTGTGGCTTCATGCGAGACCCAGCTGTTTGTCTGAGGTTTCTTTATTGCAGTGATGAATATGACCAAAGGTTTTCAAATGCAGCTGATTAAAATCGTATTCCTAGTTATACAAAAGCATGCACAGTGCCTTAATTTTAGAGGCATAGAGCACTGATCCATTTTTTCAGAGTTTATTGTCTCTGGAAATCAGCCCATTTTTGGGTTTTATCAAGGGTAGAATTAGGAGTTTAATTGCAGGTGTCTAAATACAAAAGTTTTGGTTTTGAGTATTTTTTTCATTTACTCCTTTTGCTCTTCACCACAGAATGCAGGATTATTTTTCATCGTATGGAAGATGTCACTAGACCAGTAACCCAAAAGCTTTCTGCTTATAATCAAAAGTGAAGTTTGGTGTGAAAAGCTGTACCAGGAAATAGGAGAATAAAGCTAGTGGGAACAACATGATTCCGGGTAGCAGGCCCATATGTTCAGTGACCTAGTGAAACCTGTGTGCTGTTTTTCTGTGTGATTTGCAAATGGCAAATAACACTGCATCCTTTACTTCTGTGTCCGTGGGATTTTTAATGAGTTAGCATCCAAAAGAGAAATTTAAAGCAAAATTTGGGAGGGCCTATGTAGGTTAGTGGGCATCTCAAAAATGAGGGGAAGGAGGGCAGCAAGGGTAAGCTGCTGGATATTAAGCTTGCAAAACGTGGCTTAGGTTGCAAGACTAGGCTGCAAGCAATTTATTTATCATTATGTGGTTCATTTCAAATTTAGGTCGATGCACAAACTGTTTTTGCACAGGGATGCTGTAGCTGATTGCGTGTCTGTAGCCTTACTTTAATCTGCTGTGCAGGCCATACACTTGAATTGAAAAACATCTCTCTGATACGGAGGGTTTATTACTCATCTCTCTGGATCCTCTTAGCATTTGTTCTAGAGATATCTTTACTCAGGCTCATAAAATATGCATTGGATGAAGACATCCTTCTGAAGGCACCAAATGCACGCATCTTAGAAAATGCGCTTGGGGAAGATACTTTTGAGTTTCCCACCAAAGTATTATTTTCTTCTGTGTTCAACCAGCGTACTTCAAATGCTGCATTAACTATGATTAAAGCAGGAGATAGCATCAGAGTATGTGTTTGGCTTGGTACTTTTAATAGAATTTCACTAGGATTCTGTAGCTGTTGGTACTATTTACATGTAAAATTAAAAAAAAAAAAACAAACCATGAGAAATGCACATAAAGGATGTAGTAGTCGCTTAAATAAAGTTAGTGCAAAGCTTGACTATGAGTGCACACATTTTACAAACTTGCAGCAAACCTACCGGTAATCCTACAGCTCTGCAAACAGATCTGCCGAAAAACCATTTTGTCTGAAGATTTTGCTTTTAACCACTGTCAGTGTAGTATTTTCTTTCAGACACAGTTCTGGTAAGCGATGTGTATCCACAGGTAACTTGCACATTAAATCTGCATGCTAGAAGTAGGCATCCTTTGCCAAGTACTGTCCAAGTTCTGCATGATGCCATTTCTTGCTGACAGGTGACTCCTGTAAAGTTTCAGTTCTGATGAATGTGAGTATTATTTCCTTATCTGCCAGCCACTGCATTCATATATAAGGTTGGTTTGTGTTATTAGCTGTCACTTTGATTTGTAAAGAACTATTATGAGGGATCTGCAACTGTGATACTGATATAGGGGCTGGATAACACTGCATTTTCTGCCCCTATAGGCAAGAAGGGCATGCACTTGACACAGAAGGTTACAGTGGGCTTGGTCATACTCGGATATTAAAATATTCGAAGAGACAGAAATTTATGTATCTCAGCTGATAGTTCTGCATTTCTGGAAAGTAGTGTATAATTTCTGTAGCTTGTTCTACATTTTTATAAAATATGCTCTTTTCTATTTTCTGATACTTCATTATAACTTAGATTTTTCAAAGCAAGTCAGATAACAATTCCATGGGGTATTATATGGTTCTGTCAGGTTAAATGGCATTAATTGATGAAACAGTTGTTTAATATATTATTTTCCATTGAAATATAGGTACTCTGCTGAACTGGGGGAACTTATGAGGAGTGTTCAAAAGCTTTAGTGAAACTTAGGGTAAATATTAAAGGGTACTTAAGTTTTTCTTTCTTTCAAATCAGTTTAAGCTTGTGATGTTAAAGCAGATAGAAGTTGTAGTGGTCTGTTAAATACAGTGAAGTATTCAAATAATATTAGTGGTGTTTGGCCTTGTGTTCAGCTATAACACGTTTTGAACATTGACAGTGACATTCTGTTTACTGCTTTCTGAGAGTAACTACTGAAAATTAATTACTTCAGGATGAACTTCCAAAACTCATGTTCCAAGAATACGATCCATTCATCACTACTGTTAATTCAGCTTGACTTCAAGCTGTAAATATGTGAAACTGGGCTTGCTGAAGATTGTATAAGTGTCCTGACTGCTGTCACTTGCAAGGAGTGCATGGATATAGATATCTGAGCTATTTAGTTTCCAGTCTGAAGTCAGCAACAGCAGAATCATGAAACTATAAATCAGGAAACATCACTTGCAAGTTTTATTTTGGTAGATTGTTACACCATGAGGATTTTCTTATGGTGTACATCATAAAATATCAGCAGAGTTAATTTATGAGAGAAGAGCATGAAAGGTGACTTCAAATTAGACCATGACAAAAGCAGGATAAGGCAAAGGAATCTCTTTTTTGTTCTCTTTATTATATTTCATTTTATTACACACAGTTTTTCTGCCTGGATACAGCTGACTCTGTCTGGTGTCATTCAGGTGTTTGTGTAACGCTCCCCGAAACTCCTGGTTCATGGGGGCCTGGAAATGGCCTTTCCCCAGCCCAGGGTGTGCCTGGCACCGCTCGCTCACTGGGGCTTGGAGCCTTAATTCTGCTGTGTTCGTGTCTCATCCATTTCCTGCTTAACAGGAGAAGCTCTCAGCTTATGCCACTGTAGCTTTCAAATATCCCCTTAAAATCATTGTAAGGAGAAGCTTCCATCTAGGCACTTGGCAGTGCCTTCATTCTAGCGCTGCCAGTGCTTTTGAAGTCCTGCTGATGTCCTGTTATTCGACCTGGAAATTGCTTCCTTTTGATGATCTGTAGCGGGGCTTTTTACCTCGTCTTAGCAGGTGATTTGCTGCTTGCTTACAGCGTGGAAGCTGGGGGCAAAGAACAAACAAGCAGGCAGCTTGAACGGTTCAGATTTCTTTCCCAAATTGCAGGGAGCAGGAAAATGCAAGGCTGACATGTTTGGTGGGATCTAAAAATAGCTGTAGTTGACTCCACCCTTCTATGACTTGCTTCCAGGAACACACTGAGCTGTTGAGCTATTGAATGTGAAGTGTATTTAATAGATCGCAGTCTATTTCCTATCATCTTTCAAATTCTGCCAGTGCCTTTAAGTGTTTTAAATTTGTCTTTTTTTTCATGCACTTCTCTGAAATAAACCTTTAATTTTGATGTCAGCTGATTTAAAGTGAAATTAAATTCTGTTTCAGAAAAATCCAAACAATTTGGCTTCCACAGGACTTGGAACAGTTGTATTTAATAATGAAAAAGTCAATAATCTCACGAGTCTATTGGAAAAGTAGTTTTGCTTTCTTAGAAGACTTTGTTGTGGTCATGCATTTCTCCTGAACCTGGAGGATTGTCTTAAAAGCATTGCTTGAACATTGCCACATGACTGACTTTACAGCAAGAAACATTTGTCATGCCAAAAATGACTAACCAGCATTAGCTTGTAAGAGCTTTGCTGTGTGATATATAAGCTGTTTTACTGGTTATGCAGCAACGGTATCATAAAGCTGTTAAGTTTTATGTAGAGGTACATAGAACCATGAGTTTTCAGTCCAAAAGGGTGGATGCCTGAGAGTAAGAAACAGTAATCAGAAGGGCTAATTAGCACCTTCTATAACATATTTTAGCAGTCAGTGCATTTCTTGATGGTTGAAGGTTTTAGATAGTAAAGAAGAAAGCTACTTAAGGAAAAAGGATCTGCAGTACATTCTGATATTTAAACAAGCCGCTCTGTTTGTAAACTCCTGTAAGAGTCCATTCGAGGATGATTTCTGCCTCTGATGAAATATTCCGACATTTCTCTTTGCTGCTCGACGACCAGATTTTGTGTTTTCCAGAAGGCAGGGCTTTCTTCATTAACATCTCAGTATCCATGTGTTTGTGAGAGAGATGGTGCAGGTTTCTTTGATGCATCTTTGCGGAGGGACTGATGTAGACTGTTTGACCATTAACCAAATGGCTTTACAGTCTGCTGTTGGTAGTGCATTTACAATTTGCGTCTTAGGCCTTTTGTTGAATATTTCACACATACAAAGGCAGTGATTGCAATTTAACATGCACAATTTTCAAAGCATTTTTACAAACCTGAAATAAAGTAGTATATAATGTTAAATATAATGTATATATATAAGGTAATATATAATGTTAAAGCAAGCCAGTTTTAAAATTATGCTTTTTAAGTACATATGTTGGCTTTTCATGGTCTGTGACATTTGTTGCTTGCCTTTTGTTGTCTGAATATGATGATCTCAGTGGAGGTTTTTTTATGAGCCTAAATTTTGCATTTTACTATACACTTATTAGCCTTAAATTTTGCATCTTCATAAAAGTCTGAGATTATTCCCCAATACATTTTGCATATAAAAGTAATGGTATGAATATCTTTAAATTCAGTAATTGTTCTGGTAAGAACATGATGTCAACTTCTCGAGAATACCCTGTGTTATCAGTACAGAGTTCACAGTTTTACTGAAGTGACAAGACCTTTCCATTTTGACTCTTCCCTTGTAGTAAGAAATTTGATTGATAGAGCATAGCATGTAGAGGCAAGATGACAACTTGCCCTCTGGATGGGCTTGAAAAAATGATGTATTGCTGTAGGACTCCAGAGGGGACTGTGCTGCTGAGGACAGTGACTTAGATGTTACAATTGTGCTCTGCTATGCTTTGTGCTTATATTACAGAACCTGGCCCTGTTAATCGTGGAACAGATAAGAGGTATGAAACAATTGTTCTCAGAAGATTTCAAATCCAAAGCGTCATGGCTATCTATACTGATTCCTGAAATGCGGAGAAAAATTTAGCTTCAGCAAGGCAGATTTTCTTCAGTGTGAATTTGAGTATTCAGGGCAGGTAGTTAAACTGTGTTGGTACTGTAGAACACTTATATCAAAGCAAACCTTAATGCAGCTGCCCTCTCAGCTGGGTTTGAGTCATGTAGTCCAGAAGAGACTGGTCTTTGTTTTGGGAAAGCAGTTCAGCCGTGCAGCTGCTGCAGAGGGTTGAACTGAGCCGTCAGTCACTGACCCGGATACCTGCGCTCTGACATGGGATGTGAGTCTGTACCTTTCTGCTGCCTTTGTACGAGGTGCAAGGCCGTGGGTTGTCAGGTCCTCGCAACTGATTCCTTCGACCAAGGTGAGGGATGTCGTGACCCACCATGAGCTAATAAATACAGCATGAAGCCTAAAAGGTCGAGGATGTACCTTAGACCAACTATTCCTTTTATTCCTCCTGGGAAGTGTCATTCAAGGGAACAGATCACATTTGGTGTAAATGTAGTACTATTCTCAAAAGTAGTCAAACCAAAATTGTATTGCTTCTCCTTCTTCCCTTTCTCCGTCCCTTCAAATATAACAATTTCATTTATCCTCACCACAGCAAGACTAGTTGATAAGAAACAACTGGAGTATTTGTAGTTATTTTAAACTAGAGATTTTTCACTTCTGTCCCTAGAGGCCTAAGATGCTGTTTCTTTGCCTATTAAAATCCTATTAGTCTTACTTTCTCCACCATTATGACTGTGATCATGTTTCTGTTCCTCTCATTAAGTCACAAGCTATCTTGATTTATTGGTTAATTTCCAAACCAGTAATTTCTTGTATAGAAACAAATCCTGCTACCTCTAATTTGAGTATAAGTGATTATAGCAAACAGGGTTTTGACCTATATAAGTAAAGTCAAATATTACTGAAGCATTACTTTCATACATTATTTCAAAGGTGAAAAGGAATATCTGGACTAATTAACTAAGGTGGATTTTGCATTTGCAGACTGTCTGAAATGAGAAGTATTCATCTAATGGATATTATGATGCTTTTCGTGTAATAACACAATTACTAAGTAAGTCTTGTAATTTTCTTTTTGTTGGTCTGTTTCTAGGATCCGTACTATAGATTCAATGATGTGATGTACAGGTGGATCTCACTAGATAACTGGACTTACAGCAGGACATTTAAAACTCCTTTTGACGTCAGGTATGCAGTAAAGCCATGTCTAAAATAGTTCTGTGCCATCTTTCATGTAGAATTGCAAATTAATCCGTCAGCTCAAAATCTGCTTAAAACTATTGTGTCTAATAAAACAAATCATCCAATCATGTGCAGCTGCAAAACTGTTGCTACAGAACACTTAAGTTGTTTTTTCCTTTTTTTAATTAACTGGTAAAAATTACTTACGAATTAACAACTGAGAAAGTATAATACTTAGGCTAATTGGAAGCCATCCCATCTGATATCTACTGTGTATGTGAACATGCTGTGTTGTAGACTTGGGCTACTTCAGCTGTCATCTTAATTTGACTATTTAAAGATCTAATGTAGCCACACTGAGTCAAATGTTTTTGGAGGTAGCTGAGGCAAATGCTGCTAAAGATAATGGTGATATACATTTTTATATTGTCTGTCTCCTCTATGTTGTTAACTCTAGGTATTCTAACAGTTTTTCACACATATATTATCTTCTGTAGAAAGTGGCAGAAAGTGAATTTGGTTTTCGAGGGAGTAGATACAGTAGCACAGATCCTGCTCAACAATGTCACTGTGGGGAGAACAGACAACATGTTTAACAGATATGTAAGTAATATGTTTATTTCTGAAGGTGCTTCTGTTTTTCCTTCAAAGCTCTTTTGTTCTGAGCATTTTCAGTGCATTCAGATAAAAATAGGTGCTTGAACACAGGCAGTGTTGAGCTGAAGAGTGCCTGTATAATCAGATAAATAGAAAGAGAAGTGCACTTACCTTTTCAGTAGCAACAGCGTCATATCTAGAGGTGAATGTGTCCTGTCCTAAATGAGAGGACCCATGCAAGAGGATCAATTCAGCTAATAATATATCTTGTTTCTTGGGATCTGTCCCAGCTCCAAGAAAACGTAAGCTTAAATCTGTTATATTAGCTGTAAATCTACTTACTAATTGGTATTAGAATGGTTTACATGTGAATACTGGAATGAAAATGCACGTGTTTTAAAGCCTTTTAAAGTGTTTCCATGCTTTTGTTTTTTAAACAGCATGGTTTATTTTTAATATTGCACTTTTGATGACATTGCCTTGCATTTTGACCTTAGCTTATGTCAGTGTAAGAGTATTCATCTTGGAATGATCTTGAGAGGGGCAAAAACATTCAGACTAATTGTATAGCTTTAAAATATAAAATTATTTTGGTGCTAACATAAGAAACAATCCTTGCTTTTCTCTTAAAAGAATCAAAAAAATTAAGAGTTAAAGGAAGAATAATAGTGGAATAACTGCATGACAAATGAAATCTGGTGTCTCCCTGTCTCAGCATTTAGCATTCTGGCAGGTTTTATTGCAGAAGCACTGGACTGAGACATGAGAGAGAGATTCTGCCACCTGGGTCTGCGTGACCTGGGACAAACCACTTAGTTTCTCTTTGACTTAGTTTTACCATCAGTGAAATAAGAAATTTCATATAGCTTTTACAAAATTGTAATTGTATACTATTTGGAGAGTATCTAAATGTTTGCCATTAGCAGGCTCTGTAAAGTTGGGAAGTGGCATTATTTTGTCCATATTTCTGCAACTTCATTTTGTCTCAGATTGTAACAGTTCATGAAATGGCCTTCACTGTAAAACCAGAGTGTGCCACATTAAATTGAGTCTGATTACTGTGACCCAGACTTCTGCTTTGTTCACCTGTTCCACATGGCAGCAATATCTGCAGGAAGAACTCTCTGAAGGCTCTTAATGGGGTAGTGCTATTTGATTTGTAGTTTTCTGCTTTGTGCTGGAGACATAAGTGATGTGAGCTGGGCTACCCTCAAGTTAGAAGAGATTGCCAAGACTTGGCTCGTCACAAATGGACACTGTGAGGAATAAATGCGTATTAGACATTGGAACCATATTGTCTTGATAGCACAGGATGATTCTGAAATGGAACATTTCTCCTTCTATCCAGCCACACTGAAGGGGATTTTGTGACCCAAGGAGGAAGCCCCCAGATGCTTCATTTGGTGCTGGCATAGAATGTGTGTCTGTAAGTTTTGGGGATGAGAGTGCAGGTAGCATGAAAGAGAGCTTTGCAGCATTCACAGACAAGGCAGCTCAGCCTTGCAGTAGGTGAGTTGGCAGCACAATGTGAGTTGGAAGGACTCTTGTATAGACCAGATTTCTGAGTTGTCTTTCTGAAGATGCATATGAGTTCTGGATGAGGAAGGAAGATGAAGATTCTCTTGCTGTCCTTGTCCTTCAAGCACTTCTGTGTGCATGCAGAGTGCTACAGCCTGCAATGAGGGCTTGGTATGAGGAAAGTGGTTTGCCCAGAAACAAATCTTAGTATCTAAAACACAACTGTGAATTTTGGGGTTTTTTTTAGCTTATGAAGTAGCTTTTCCTTCAAAACTGAAGCATGTTAAGACTGTACTTCAAATGCCTTTGAATAATATATGAATGGTATTAAAATCCCAATGTAACAGTGATTTCTAATCACATAAATAAATGTCAGCACTGTAACGATTTTGTTCTGTTATTTGTCCTAGAGCTTTGATATCACCAGCGTGATCAAGGAGGTCAATTTTGTTGAAGTCCGTTTCTTGTCGGCCGTTTCCTATGCAGCAGAGCAGAACAGGTGTCACAAAGCTTACAGCATCCCCCCAGCCTGCCCTCCACTTGAGCAGAAAGGAGAGTGCCATGTCAATTTTATCAGAAAGGTGGGGGCACATTTGTCTGTCTCTGGCTTCAGGCTTGGAAAGAGGAATGCACCATGTGCTGTCCTTTTGGTTGTATTCTGAAACCTGCACTGTCATTTTATAAGTAGGGCATATTTTGTATTGCAGCTTCCTTCTCTTGTCCCCCCTAGAAACCTGTAATCTAGCGTGTTGATGATACAATAGGCTTAAGAAGGCCAGGCTTCAAACCTAAGTAGTAAGATTTTTTAAAAGGCTATTTTCATCAAGGAGTCAGTAAGGAGACTTGCTGCTAAGAGAGCAGGATAGTATGGGGAAATGTGCTATCATTACATTTTGATCCACTGGATGGGTTTAGCAGTGTATGCCGACAATAGAGTTCACTGTTGCAAATACCAGTGTGTATTGCCAAGGCTGTAAAAATCTCAGCCAAGCAGCTTTGTGAGTGTTTGCTGTTGCTCATGTGCTGTGCTATTTATACTGGGCAGCTCTGGCATGTCCCAAGAAGTGTTATCTAACAGGGAACCTGTTTTCATTAGTGTTGAGAAGTGTGACTTATAAGTACATATTCAGTGAAAATGAATGAAGATCAGAAACTTTGATTTAAGACATGACTTCATGGCTGTTAAAACTTAAGGCAAACTATTGTTTGAGGAGCATCTCATGTTTCTGTTAGCTTGGCAGCAGATAGAGGCAATGGCTAGATGATTTTATTTTGGAATTTTTCTTTCTGGGTGTCTTTTCAGATTTGTCTCCACTTAAATGCCCTTCTTGTTAGTATTTTCAATCTTTTTGATCTTTTTAGAGCCTTCTAAAAAAATAACTAGAATCCTGTTAATCTAAACCTGAATGTAATTTCCTTTAAAATTTGTAAACATAGACTCTGTGTTGTCCTGGAAAGATCCTTTAGGATTAAGATGTTGTCTTTATTTCTACTTGCTGCTACTTTTATTTTCAGTACATTTTAGAAAGTTTGTCAATCCTTCTGAGTCCCTGTTTCTTAGAAATCAGTGCAAGGAGAAGCTTAGGAGGAAGAAGGCATTAAACAGCTGTAGTCTTATTTATAGGGCATAAATGGTCAGGAATGATTTTATGCTTCACTGAACTATACCTTTAAATTTGTAAGAAGATACCCTAGTGCTTTTCCTCAAATGAGTTGTTTGACTGTACTTGAAAGTTGCTCCAGAAATTTCCAGAAAAGTTTTGAGTTCCCAGTATATGGTAACAACAGCAGCTATGTCACATTAAAAAGTAAACAAACATACTAGGACATTTATAAAGTACAAGTACATTCGTGTCTGAAAGTAGTGGAGAGCTGTTTACTCATTTCAGGTGTAGTATTAAGTACAGTAAACATACCTAAAACTGAACAGGATTTGTGGCAGAACACAAGCCTGTCACTGGTAATGTACTTCAGTGATACAAATGTGTTGTTCTTATGACATAGCAGTCTCTGCAGTGTTATTAGTGAAACCTGACAATCTGCCAGTGATTTGTTAGTTAATTTTCTTTTAAAGGGAAAATTGCTTTCAATTGGCCTTGTTTTCTCAGAATAGGCTCTCCCTGGTTTTGCTTTTGAAATAGGTACCGTGTTTCCTTCCTGGAAGGCTCTTTTGCAATTTGATAGGCAGGCAGGCAGACTGTAGAGATGCAAGGGATAGGCCAGACTTGTGCAATGTGGTTTGCCCAAATTAGTATGCCTCGGCTGTAAGTTATTAGTCTCTAAATTTAGAACTGTGTGTCACTGTACAAGACTTCAGGAGATCTATTGTATTTGCTTTGGGGCTGGGGCTGTGTGAAACTTGGAGGGCAGCTGAATAGATGTCGTCAAGGGATTTGTTAACTAGAGGTCTGACCAGGTTTGAAAACAGCTAAATGGAAATTAGTGTAGGTACCTCTCTGCCTGACCAGCATTTTATAATTCTGACAGTTATTCTGATGGTAGAACCAGAACTAAGCTGCTTCTCAACCACGGTTTTGTTCCCTTTGTTTTTTTGTAAGAGAACCATAAAAAGGGGAGAAACAGCGAACATGACTGAACTACACAAACACACCAGACATATGCATCTCTTTTCTTGTACTAAACTGTGGTGTTACTACTAAAAATAGGAGATAAAGTATTTGCAATACAATTTTTAATTTGATACTGTTCTTTTAGAATACCGTAACATTTCTAACCATCAGTTTTCTGCTTAGTTTGTCTTTTAGGTGTACGATTAAACACTGACATTACAAACTAAGATAATTCATAGTTAAATTGAGAATAATCTGCTGGATTTTTTATTTTATCTTTACTGTTTGTTTTGTTGTTTTTTTCTAAGTGGTGTCCTAGTAATACAAAATTCCAGAAATACAAAATCTCTGTGTACATGAGTGTTTAATTTAGTTTTTTATATACTGAAAAATAGGTAGTAGCAGCAGAGTTCTGGTCAAGAAATGAGAAAAAAAAATACTGTAGGCTCTTCTGGGTTTATGGAAATTGGAAAACTTCTTTTAGGGCATGTCAGTATTTTATTCCTAGATAGCAAATGTCTTTTATTTCTGGCACAGCATCAGTGTCTGTGTGAAAAATAGGCAATTGTAACATAATCATTCTATATTCCAGGAGCAGTGTTCATTTAGTTGGGACTGGGGCCCTTCTTTTCCCACTCAAGGAATCTGGAAAGATGTTAGGATTGAGGCCTATAACTATTACCACCTGATTTACTTTTCTGTAACTCCTTTCTTTGGTAAGTCTTGTTTTTATTATTGTTTCACGTTTGGAATACAAATCATTTTATTGTTAAGCTTAATTAACTGTCATTTTAGGAAAAGTTCTGCTGGGTTTTTTATGACTTTTGTTATAAGTAAAATGAAACTGAGTTGAAATATAGGAATAAAAATTTATTAGAAGATTTATAGGAAAGCAAATAAGTAAAACAGCATGCTGGGCTGCCGGGGAGTTCCCTGCTCCACTCACGGCACGCAAGCGCAGTGAACAAAACCAGTAACTTTTATTCCCTTATCGGTTTCCCTCCCATTGTCACTTGTTGTTTTTCCATTGGATCTGAGCTTTACAGGTCTGATTCTGGTTGGCTTTTCTCCATTCTCGCTTCAGTTGCCAGGTGCTTTCTCCTCCCGTAATTTCACTCAGTCCCTAGACCTTGAGGCCTAGTGTGCAGGCATCTCCAGATGTCCATCTTGGATATTCTGTGTCATTTCAGTTCCTGACTTTTCAATCCTTGTGCTTTCTTTAGTTACTTTATGCGTGCTGTGAGACAATAAGCTTTTTAGAAAAATAAGATACAAAAATATTTATTTAACAAGGCACGATGGTTTGTCTTTCTAGCTTTAGAACTGCAAACTTCATGCTTTTCAGCTTACAATGCTGATAGATTAATGAACCATTCTACAACTTACAGTTTCTTACCCGTAACAGAACAGTGATTATAATGACATATATATATAAGAATATAACATGCACTACAATTTAATGAGTAAACTACTATTATTACTACTTTGATGAGTAAATTTAACTACTACTACTTAATACACTTTGTATGTAGTTCTTACCACAGCACACCTTTTCTAGGTTTTGAAACAGTACTTCAGTACAAACAATAGCAATTAAAAATGATAGAATTCAGAATTTTTTTTTTTGCTTGAGAGCCCCCAAATAACTGCAGAAGTTAAAGTGTAGTATAGCTGAGGTTAGCACCTGTTCTCCATAGTTTTGAAAAATTTCTTTTTTATTGACATCTGTTTTCACCAAGACTCCCAGTAAATATGTCTCACTTTTGTTTCACTTTCATTTAAAACAAAGGCAAAGCTGCTATGGGAATTTGGTTTTGTGTTGGAAAGACAAATGCACTGTGAGCTGAGTTTCAAGAGCGCCAAGTTTTCAGGACACAACATGAAGTCTGAGAGAGAAAAGCAGTCGTGCTATGCAAGGATAATTTGTTAAGGCTGCAATTTGAGAGGATGGCCTCCTGCATTCCTGCTACCTAACTTACCAAACCGGTTTCCTCTCTTGCCGTGGTCTCTGATTTTCCTCTCCTTTGTCCTGCAGATCATTTCAGCTGAGCAAAAGTAGTTAATTTTCTGTTGAAACTTTCTGCAAACGGTAATGTGCCCCACTGGAGACCACACGTGTGCTTTCTTTCACTGCCTGTGGAGCCCAGTCTTCAGTGGAGTTAGGGATAGCTCGAGTCCTCTGCACTGGGTTGAATTTCAGCCCTTGGGAATAGATTTGTTGTGTATGAATAAAAGAGGAAGACATCGCTCCATGGCTGCTTTTAAAGCTTCCTGAAATAGCCGCAGGTCTTAGCTAGAATTAACGTGACTGGAATTTCCATGGAAAGCCCCAGCACAGACTGTGCTTCTCACTAAAGTTTAGTTACAGTAAAAATCTGTTCTAGTCCCTCCCACATTCCCACAACTCCACCTTCTGGTAGGTAAAATTTTGCTTTCTGGGTAAGTGGAGAGAGCAAACCTCTTTTCATTCAGCAGAGAGTGGTTTGGAACCAGAGTGAGAGCTTATTAGTATTCAAAATAATAACATTTGAAAAAGAAAGAGTAAATGAATGACCTGAATTTAAGCTGCATATGTACTTTCATTACTTGTCAGATTTGGTGTCATTTGACTCATTATTTTGACCACTGAGTCTGCAAAAGATTCATTGTACTTGATTTCTCTACCTAGACTCCAGTAAAGGATGGGATTCAATTTCTATATGCTTTTGGAGGGGAGGCAAGATGCACTGTAATGGGTGACCCTTGTGGGGTGTTTGGTTTTTTTTTTAACCCTTTCAGCATTTCTGAAAATTGTTCTTTCCTGGCTAATGGTGGGTGTAATATAAACTTAGGAACTCAATCATTGCTCTTCATTCCACAAAAGACAGTGAAAATCACTCAGGGCTGAATGCAATTCTTTGCTTTTGGAAGGAGCTCTCTTTCTCTCCTGGAGGAAGGAGAACTAGAGAATGTAAATGAAAAGAGAAAGTACATGATTAGAAGTTTGGGTATACAAAATACATCTTAGTTCTAGCTTTCCTTGTTTTCCGTTTTATTTGCTTTTGCTTATATGTTAATTAGTAATATTTGAAGTATAGGATTAGCCAGATTGTGTTTGTAGCTACATAATTAAATTGCTGAAGTTAATGGGAAATTTACACACAAATCTTGAGTACCCTTGACCCTGGCTTGCCTTATTTGGTAAGTTCTGTAAAGGAGAGGACCCTCTGAGGTAACTGTAGAGAGATCTCAGGGAACTCATTAGCTTGTTTCCTCCACCACACATTGGTGGCAGGAGGGACATAAAGATATAGCCCATCAAGTCTAGACACAGTGGGCCCAATTCATCCCCAGCATAACTCCATTCATTTTGTTTAGTGACTCTGGGATGAATTCAGCTCGTTTTCAGTTAATACTGTTTTTGTTTCATTGACAAAAGTGATTGTGCTGGCTTGTGATTACGATCTTTCCCAAAGAGTACCATGTTCATATGAGTGCTGACTAAAAGCAAATATGATGTCTATGGGAGTTGGTGGGAAAAAAATCCTTCCTAATGAAGTGACTGGTGTCAAGGTCTCTGACTTCTGTACAGAACTCTGAAAAAAAATCTGGGTGGCTTTTGAATAAAAATAAAAGAGTTAAGAAACATGAATCATATGGCATCGTTCTCTTCCAAGTTGGCAAATGTAAACACAGATGTCAAATGCACTAAACAAGCATTAACCTTGTAGGTCTGGTTCAAAGACAGCCTGAAAATTGTTAGATTTAATCTTAGGTGTTTGAATTTTCTGTTTGATGAGAGATCATGCTAATTAATAAGTATATAAACATAACTATTAAATTCCATTTTTTCTCCCCTTAGTAAAGAGTGCACAGCAGTGGTGTCTTGAAATTGAGTCTATTTTTGATGTAGTCAGCTCTAAGCCAATTGCAGGTCGTGTGACAGTGAACATTCCAAAATTGCAAACACAGCAAACATTCAGTGTGAAGCTTCAACCTGGAGAAGGCAGCATTGTGCTGCTTGTAAACATCAACAAGGTAAGGAGGTGCATGTGAAAAGCTATCCAGCTGCAAAATGTTTCCCCTGGTTTCCTGTGTGTCTTTCTGCCTCCATGCCAGTTTTAGGCCTCCCTCCCCTTCCTTATTGTGTTCCTGACTTTTAACAACACTTCTGTACCCCTTACAGGATAGGAGAACAGTTCTTTTCCTTTCTAAAAATTGATACCTGTGGAGCTGTGTAGCTCAGTGTAAAAAAGATGATGAGGCCCTAAAAAAAAAATCACATCATCACTGACCACGGTTAAAGGAGCTATTTTGAGGTATTTAGGTAGATAACCTTTGGATAGCTTGTGTCACTTCACTGGCAGCAGGTATCTCACACGCTGTTGTTTACTGGACTGACTGGGACTAGAATATACTACAATATGCCCAGTTCTCCCAGGAGAGAGAGGAAACATTCTTCAAACCGCTCAGCAGACACTCTTTCTGGTAAATAAAAAAGCCCTGTAAAAAACTTGTCTGGAAGTGAAGTTGGCTAGAAATTTTGTGCAATGTAGTACTTCCTTACACTGGTTTGTAGTCCTTTGGATGGACAAAACTCAGGAGGAGTTTTGGACCAGTGATGGATGCTCTAAGGAAGAGACAAGTCAATTGAAAAACGATGAATTTGGTATACACCCCGGTGCTGAAAGAGGAAAGAATTGGTTTGCTTGCTTTCAGAGGGTGCTGGGAAGCTGTCTGGTGGTGGACTTAATTCACCAGCATCATTTAACTTTTATAAAATGTGTTGCTTTTGTTTTTTTAGAAACTGTTGAGTTTTATCATACAGGTGTAATTAAGGAAAGATGTAAAGGCTTGAGAGAATAACGAAATCAGTGTGTCTGTTCTAGCAGACGAGTGTCTTGAATTAGGCAGTGAGCCCAGAGTGGCACAAAGAGGTATGAACTTGCACAGAGAGCAGTTCCCCGCTGCAGAACAGAGCCTGACAGCAGAGGCTCAGCCCTGTGGGCAGGGTGGGAGCCCTGGCTGTTCTCCATGGGAGCTGCTGTCTGCTTCATTGCCACGGGACAGTCAGATTGGTGGGAGAGTGATGTGCTGTGAGAAGGAATTTGGGGCTTTTGACCATTCTGTCAGTTAATAACATTTGAGAGTCAGCCTTCAGTTCTTTCTGTATTTTACTGGCTCTCCTGGATTTATATGTTGCTGTGTAACTCTGAATTTGTTTTCCCAGTTTGATGGTGTTATGTGTGTACGCTTGAGTTCACGTGTCAGTCTTCTGAGTGGAGGGAAAACGTGTTAAAAGGCAAGCGGGGTGTTTCTGTTTTAATATGCACACTCAGAGACTTGCATACTCATGTGCTTTGTTTTATTTTGACACAAAAGCATACAAGCATACAATTTTTTTTACTGTTGTCACCTGTTATGCAAGTTACATGAGCAATTGCCAATAGCTAGTTTTATTTAAATAACTGTTAGTATCTGCTTAGCCTTTTAATGGATTACATTAAGCAGGCACTGCAAAGCAAAACTTCAGAAGTTATTTTTGTGTATTTAATTGCCCCACCACCAACCTCAGAAGAGATCTGTTAATGTAGTGCAACTGCAAGTTCGTGAGGAAGCACTTCCTTCAGAGCAGACGCAGCAGCATTTCATTATTCTTTGTGCACAAAAGGCTTTGCTGCATGAATTCACATCAGCTGATTTTCGAGAAGCCCTGAAATGTGTTCTCATGTATCGATGAGGCTAACAGAGCCCTTAGTCTGTACACAGACTTGCATGGTGCTTGTTGAATACTGAGACCTCGCCAGAAATTTATTTCTAGTTGAGAGTTTATTGCAAATTATGTTGCGAGTCTGTAGGTGTTTGAGTGGTGTGTGTCACCCGAGATGTTTATCAGTCTTCCTGCAGTTGCCACACAAAGTGCTGTGTTGCCAACATGACAGCATTTTGCTTATCAGCTAATGGTGAGCATAGAGATGACATCATTATCGGCCAATGAGACACTCCAGTCCTTCCAGGCAGCTGCGAACACTCCCTTGTTGTTGAGTCACACGCTGATTCTGTGCTTCCATTTGTATCCGTGCAACACAGACACTAGTACTTCTGCACAATCAGTT